GGCCCCAGCAGAATTGTTATGCAAAGTACATTTAGCTGCATTAATCATCAAGGGAGGCTCTGGGTTTGGGGACCTCCTTGCAGTATAATTGCTTGCTGCTCTCAAATGGGAGGCAGAGGCAATATTCACAGCAGAGTACTGGAGTAGAACAGTGTGACTCAGGTGCTCATGAGGCAAAAATTGTGAGGATCAGAGATCAGAAGCAAGGCATCATTATGTGTCATGTTACTCACAATCCCCTGCCCTGCTTGCTCCCTCCCTATCTCCTACTTACTTTATCCTGGAGTCATCAGACCGAACTTACCACAATTGCAAGGCAGCATTCATAGTGTATAAAAACAGAAACGAATGAAATTTTCTAGTATGACAAATGTCTTTCTCCATGGTATGTTTCGGTGTCTCTTAAGCCATCAGTTTCCTTCTAAGAGTACAGGAGTTTGAACTGGCAGCAGTAAAAGCAGTGAGAACTGCACCCTGGTATAGGTGATGCGGGTATGTGGCAGACATAAAACATTTGATATTTCTTGAAATGTATAGTGAAGGCTACAGTTTACTGTAATAGCAGATTGCTAAGGAAATTGATGCCGTTATAATTATAATTTCTTATCTTTGTTTTGGGGGATTTTATCACCCCTTGCATTACTGCATGCAGCTGCTCCTCTTGGCTTAGGTGTCTATCTATGTTTATGTAAGTATCATTTCTTAACTTTCTTATAAGGTGTTACAGCTCGCTAGAAGGGTAGCAATCAAGTGGTGTTGACTGTGTGATTGCACAGATGCCTGCTATGTTTGCCATTTAAGTCATGATTCCTTGTTATTACATTTTATTAGGAATTCACATCCCACTGAGATATAAAGGACCCTGAGTGCTAACGTCATTCTGTATTGCGCTGGTACACTTCCGTGCTCAAGCTGATTCATTACCACATCTTACGGGAGAGTCTGGAGGTCTTCCTTCAGTTTACTTCATTGCTTGTCAATGTATTGATGTAGAAACAAGATTCAGTGTTCAACTTGGGATGGAGTAGGACAAAGTCTTGTTTGGAATGAGTGGGTAACATTTGCAGAGCAGATCTGACAGGACATGTAACTGACAACATTCTTTTTACTTTAGCAGTAACTTCTTAGTATATGCTCACTGTGGATGGCACTGTGTTTCATATGGATATTTCATGCAAGCGTATAATTTACCCACAGATTTCCACCCTATAAACCAGTTGTATAATCAATCCATTTTCATCCACATGCCTAATTTGACTTTATTTGGTTATTTCCATTTTCCTGAGACTGTCTTAATTTCATTTTTTTTTATGACTGAAGATTTCCTTTGTGCTAATGTACTTCTAGCTATGTATCTCTCGAAAAATTGAGCAGCATGAAATAAATAAGCCAATAGGCAAGTTGGGAAACAAAATGAAGAGAGTTCTTATAAATTGAAAAATAAATGGCCAGTATATGCAAGATGATATTTTAGTGAAAAATGTGATTTAGCATTTGAGAATTCTTAAAATTAGACCTGGTATGAAACACTAACATAAAAACGCAGAACTTTCTTATGTAAAATTCAAGCATGCATTGGCTAGTTCACTGTGCAACTCAGCATGAACATAAAAATGAGAAACAGCACTAAAATATTAATGTCACTAAGGTAAACACCATTTATAAAAAATAAGTGTTATATACTATTCAAATATCTAGTTCAAATATTTATGCAGGTCAAGGCTACAAAATACATTTTGAAAACTGATGGTTTTTTAAAATTACTAACATCACTAATTTGTTGAATCACCCATTTTAGCCACCATTGTATCTGAGTTATCAGAGCAACTACACCAACTTAGAACTGATGGGGAACTCATTTAGATTTAGAGAAAATTGGTGCCATTAAAGAAAAGTAAACAAGGCCATAAAATGATTAGTCAAAAAATGTGATTCATATCACAGTAATATTGATACAGAATGATTCCCATTTTTATGACCTAAAGGAAACGTATATGTGCATGGATGAAAACCTCATAGAACTAGCCAAAGCTTGGTGTCAAGATCTTTATTTCCCGAATCTTTGGATCTTCTTCCAAGATATCAATGTGTATGCATTCTTGTTTTTCTTTAAAATGACTGTAACTTGTCTGTCCAAAATATCTGTCTATGTAGAATAGACAGGTAATTATGCCTTCAAGAAACGATGTGTACTGAATGTAGTGATTTGTTATTAAAATACCTGGGATCCGAGGTCACCTGTATTTTATTTATTTACCATTAGGTCAAATTCTAATATAGACATTATAGATATTTTATAATAAATAGACACTCAGATGGTCTCATGATTTCCTTTATTAATTGATATCTTGTTTTCATCATTGTTACTATCTCACATTTATTTTTATTATCAAAACTTCTGACTTAGACAAGAGTTAACTTCATGTGTGTTAACTTTAAGTTGGGTCGCTGTGACTCATGTTCAAGGGATAGGGTGACCCTACAGTCATGATTTCTCACAGAATGTGTCAGTAATAGCAAAGGAGCAGATGAGGGAATATGCCAGATTCTTGTGAATGATCAATGGGAGCATGAAACAAGCAGATTTACTCTTATTGGTAGTTAAATGTTCATGCTCTTGACAGCTGTAACTATTTTGTGAAACACTGTTTTACTTGACAACTCAAATGTAGGTGACAACCTAAGTTCTCCACATATCCCCCACCCCCTTATCTATACTCACAGAAGAATGAGAAACATGAAGATATCCATATATTTTTAGAGGGATATGAGTCACTGAGGTAAGTTTAAATTTAATGAGGAATTTTTGGAACCATTTTATAATGAGTGCTTGCATGATTGGACATATCTTTGGAAAGACATGATGTCACATCAAAAGTAATTTTGCCAAAAGTAGAGCAAAAATGTCAAAGGAATAGAAGTCTGTCTCTGTCTTTGTCTCTCTCTCTCTCTCTCTCTCTCTCTCTCTCTCTCTCTCTCTCTCTCTCTCTCTCTCAGGCACACACACACACACACACACACACACACACACACACACACATTTTCTCTCCCCCTACCCTTTCTCCTCATCCAAACCTAGAAGTATTACAACATTGCCTGATTTGACATACCAACCCTAGGCTGTGTGTAATGACACATGACAGATTTATGTGTACCTGCCATCATATATCAGATCTTAACAAGCTTCACTTCTGTCATGGTAGGAAGCACAATGTGTGCTTATGTCTTTGGGGATCATTCCCATGAGACAGTTATTTATCTCTAGTATTGGGGTCTATGGGCTGTGATGATAATGGCATGCTCATGACTTCACCATCTTCAGGGTAGTCATACGTCTGTCATTTGGCATCACATTATCTGTCCAATGGGAGATTCACAGATAGCAACCAGAGAGTGAGACCAAGGATGACACCAATCATATATACTAAATGGAAGACTGGCAGTCCCAGTGGAAATTACCCCCCAAAAAATCCCTTATCACAGTCTACTACAAATCAGTCTTTTTAGTATCACTGCATTGTGCTGCATAAATTGTCTAGTCTTTAAAACCTGTGGATACTAGGTTGCTAAATACTCATGGAAGAGCCTCAGAAACGATTCTCAGTCACAGTTATATAATATGTCTGAATCTCTTCCTTCATCTACGCCACGTTGTGACCTATCATCTTACTCCATCTGGCCTGTAACTTGCTCTTTCTTGTTCTAGTCTGGAGTTCTGCCTATGGGTCTCCAAGACACATTTAAAAAGCTGCAATACCGGATCATCATCATCAGAGCACTGTGAGGGATGGTTGAGGCTTTTACTTTAACAGTAGGATTCATTTATTACACATCATGGCCCAAACCTCTCTGCTTAATTAATTTTTCCCTTTTTAAAAAATGTAGTAGTGGCCAAAATCCCCCAGATTAGACATGAGAACCTAGGGTCAGCCCTTAGCCTGTAATAGTTCACTGCCTAAAGTGGTTTTCAAGTGTCCAAGGATTATCTTTATCCGCTTGAATGTTTTCTGCCTAGAAAATTAACAGCTGAGTGCATTTTGAGTAAAATACTAAAGGAAATGGCTGATAAAAATATCAGTGTTGTATATCTGCTGAAGGCGATACATATCTGTTCTTTCTCAAACCTCTGTTAAGCTGTCATCCTCACCCTTATCACAGGAATGATTATCTCACAGCACATTATCGCCAGACTCTTTCCTGACCAGACAGAAAGAATCCCTGGAAGGAGTCATGTGTCTCATTTGTCTTAAGGGGGTCGTTCTCTTGTGACAAATCACTTATCCTTGCTGTTAATAGTCAACACACAGTGAGCATACTGACTGTGGTGAGGTCACGCCCTCTCCACAAAGCAGTGTGGGATTTCAAATTACTGTAGCCAGATAAAGCAAATGGTACATGCCCACCTGACTGCCTGCTTACTCCTGGATTTCTGAATCTGCCAAGTGATAAACCGTGACTAATGGAGTCCTTTGAAATTTCATGATTGTGCCAGAAAAGGATGTCTGTCTCAGTAGTCGGTGTGGTCAAGGGCGAGGGCGAGGTGTGGTTACAGATCTGGGAAGAAAGTGCTAAGTGGCCAGGGCTGACAAGGGAGCCCTAGGGAGGATGGAAATCAACATCTGAAGGTCCTCTGTGGAACAGGTGCTCACTGCACAGTTGTGGGAACCTGGGTTCTGCTCTCCAGCACCCATTTGAAAAAGCGTGGCATGCAAGCACTTCTGAAGACAGGAGAGACAGAGTTTCTGTATCACCGGAGTCACAGCCGTTTGGACTCAGACAAACACACAGAAGCTTCTATTAATTAAAACTTGTTGGGCCGGTGGCTCAGGCTTCTCGTTGGCTAGCTCTCTCTTAATTCTGTACCCATTTTGCCACGAGGCTGTGGCTTACCCATAATGCTCCAGAACGGTTCCTCCTTCAGTGACTATGTGACGTCTTCCTGGTGACTTCCTGCATTCCTCTTCCCAGGATTCCTAGTCCGGTAGCCCCACCAGCTACTGGCCAGTCAGCATTAATTCAGCAGCCCATAAGGGAAGCATATATTCAACAGCGTGCAGAAGGACATCTTCCATCACATTTTGCTGAGATGCTATGGGTAGGATACTATATGGCAATGGGTGTCCTGGTCCTCTGGATCTTACAATCTTCCGGCCCCTCTTCGGTGATAGTCCCTGAGTCTTAGATATAGAAGTTTCATTGAAGATACAGTAACTTGGGCTTCACATCCCATGGTCTTCTGTATTTTGATTAGTTGTGGATCTCTGAAAAAGCCGAATAATGAAAGTACCAGTTGACAGCTTATTGTAGATGGGGAGATTTTACATGGCCCCACCCTAAATGAGGAGGTATAGGAAATCATTGGATGCTGAGAGAATCAGTTCTCTCTACAGATAGGTTTCCTGATAGGTTATCCAATTCCAAGTGGTTGTCGATATATATATATATATATATGTATATATATATATGTCAATATATATATATATATGGGGGCAATCATGGGGAAGGAAGAAGGATGTAAATGATGGAAATATAATAGTAAGTTACTTCTTTGGAAAATAAAAATGTTAATTATTTATAAATCCTGACATATCAGATGAGCTTGTACACCCAGCTTGGGAGGAAGGCATGGGAAAACCTGTGGGGTATACTAGCTGACCAGCATACACTAATTTATAAGTAACAGGCCTGTGAGAGATATCACCCCCCAAATACATAAATAAACAAATAAACAAACAAGGAGGAGAGTGACAGAGCAATATATATATATATATATATATATATATGTGACATTGACTTTCAGCCTCCACACGCACTAACATCTACATGCACACAGACATGCACAGACACACACACAAACACACACACACAACAATGCGCACAGAAGTAACTGTGAGATAAATCAGTGAACATCACTATAAACAGAAGGAAAAATGAAATGAGTAAGCAATCATGAATTCAATTCGACATTTGACTTATGTGAACTATGAATGACCCACATCCCTTTTTCTAGGTTTATGAAACGACCTTTTTGCATATTTTCTGATTAACAATTTTAAGATAATTTATGGAAGTTAAATGAATGCTTAAACTCGTAGGGAGACCCAGGGATTTTCATTATCTTACTAATTTCTTGTTTTTCTGGTGCAGGTATTACTGTTGAATTATATACCTTCATAAGTGAAAAGTGAGATTTAAAATAAACGCAATTATAAAGAAAGCAGCTCATTTCATATTTATACCTCAACTGTAAGATGAGTAGGCATTTGTAGATCTTGTATATGGTATGAGTCATCACCTCACTTAATAATACTGAAGTTATTTTGTGTCCTAGACTACTGTGATGGGTAGCCAATGGTCCAGAACAACCCTGAAAGTCATCTTGATTTTATTTTTGCAAATACAAATTATCTGGCTATTTTATTTAATCCAAATTTTTTGTTGTTGGCCCTCAAAGCAGTTACTTTCATGAAATATTTAGCCTCTCCTGAATTTCTATTAGCAAAGCAATGATTTAATATTCTGATATAGGAAAAGAAAGACTACTGATATATAAGTGATACAATCTAAAAACCAACTTAAATGCTGGCTCAATGGCTCAGAGGCTAAACTACTTGTCATGCAAGCCTCATAACCAGAGCTCCTTCCCTGGAAGTTTTGTATAAGCAGAAGGAGAGAATAAAGACCATAAAGTGGTTCTCTATCCTCCACACATGTATAATGGCATGTGCACATCTACCTACACATGTAATGCAGATGTATTAATAATAACATGTAATACAGACATAGTAATAACAAAATTTATTGAAAATGATGAAAGGAAATCAACCTCAGATCTGTGTGCAGGAGAATGTCTTTAAACTGTGAGTGTGACCTCATCATGCACATGAGCTCCTAAGAAAGGGCATTCCTGATTACATAATATTGAAACCACTGTCCTCACACTTAGTGACCTGTCAGGTGGCTCAGGAAAATCTGAATTCAGCAGTGATGGCCTTATGCCTGCCCCTACAATAGTTAAAGTGCAGTCCCTGAGTTTTGCTTTGTCCAACCTCTCCTATCTAGGGTTTCCTAAAATGCTGGCCATGATTTATCCAAAAGTGCCCAACGAAGATACATTTTCTCAGCTTGAGAGTCTGTGAAGGCTGGAATTTATCTTGCTGCCAGACACAAAAGAGGTTGAAAATTCCCAAGTCCTGCATCACTGCTGAGGAGCAAACGAACTGATTTCTGTGTCAGTTATTCCATTTGCTCCCGGGAGCAATTGTTCTTCCCAGAATCAAGTCCTCTTGACTGTCTTCCAAACCTCATAGTAATTCTTGCCAAGCCATTTTAGAGAGGCGGTTCTTGGAGAACACACAGCTGTATGGAATGGAACTTGTGCTTCAGGCCAGCCCACACTACAGGGTTTGCAGAATGCAAACCACTGTCCACCATACCTTAACAACAGTTTTGGAAAATATTCATCTTTGGGGACTCCATACTAAGGTCTAGCAAGTTTTCTATGCAAGCAACCTCAAAGAATGGTTCAGTAATCAATTCCATCAGTCTTCTATAAGATTAAATTCAAAAGGATGAAAGTATGAAGCAATGGTATACTGTCCCCCACTCATGCAATCTTTCCAGTACAGTGTTCATTCCCTGGGGATGGAAGCCTTGTCTGTTTTCTGCTCATCACTATCATCCTCAGTCAAACATGCTGCCTGTGAATCATTATATACTGAGGAAATGCATTGCAGCCCTCTTCTCAACACTTCTTCCCATGCTCCTTCAAACCCAGGAAAGAATCCCACAGACAAAGACACAAGGAATTGTGTGTCTTAATGGTATCAGAGCTAAAATGTTATTTGCAATTGGTAGCTGCTGGGAGAGGAAAATCAGGTTTTTTTCCAGTGGGGGGGTGACTCTGGATGTACCTACTTACTGCACCACAGGGATGGACCCACACTCAAGAGGAGTCACCCAACATCCTTCATTTTGGAATTATTCTTAAAGGAAGACATGAAGTTGGATGGGTAGAGAGGTAAGAGACAATCTGGGAGGAATTGCAGGATAGAAATAAATATAATCAAATTTATATAGCATGAAATTCTGAAAGAATAAATAACATTCTTTTTCTAAATATCAACATTCAAATTCAGAGGAAGATTGTCTTGATCATGTTTATAAATACAGTTACATTTGCTTGTAGAAATACTAATGTTGAGATGTTCTCTATTATAGTACCCAGAAATAAATTTATATATTATATACCAGTAAAAGACTAATTATCAAAATGCACTCAATTTATTTGATAGAAATTATTTAATGAGAATTCGGAACAAAATTAAGGTCTGGAAAATACTCAGCAGATGTAATGATCTATGTTGATAGGATGTCTTAACTAAAAGATGTAAGTTCTGGGGAAAAATGGTTTGTCAAAATAATCGAATTATTTTGTTTAGAAACTCCCAGTAACCATGGAACTTAAAAATAAGCAATGAGCCACAATTATAATGTATTTCATCCTCTGATTATCATAAAGCTTGTTGCAAATGGTTGGTCTAACAGCTGAGTGCAACATTGTTCTCCATAAATCGCAGATGAGAAATAATCATCTTGTAAATTATTTTATACTAATGTATGGATAAGTGAAGACCTTTAGGTGGACAGAGTTTTATGTAATTGTGTGACTCTGGTTCTTGGTCTGAGTCCAAGTGTGATGCGTGTTTCAATTGAGGTTGTATATCTACACATGTGGCATTGTCCACATTAGAGCTTCAGAGAATAGAAGAGAATTACAGGATTCTTCTATTTAATTTGGATTTAAAAATACCCTTGTGTCTGGAAACTTAAGGCATGAAAAGGTCTCATTTCCTTTATTAAAGGAAATATTTGGTATTTGGATAGCAGCACACTGAATAGTGTGTTGGGCCATACAATGTAATGGAAAGTGTTAGGGTCTAAACCCATAGACTATGGCTTAAATTTCAGAATATACAGTTATTAGTTATGCCAGATAGCTCATAATACCATGATTATTCAAAATTGGATCCTTCCATGGAGAATAGAAAAACAAATCCTTCCATTCAAAATTGTGATGACCAAATATGTAAAATATGTAAGTATTGTCAGGCATGTTGGAGAGTAGAGGACCTGGCATTTACTTTCATCTGTGTGAGGCCATAGGAAGATCATTTCACATTACTACACTGAAATAGTGATAAGAGTACAATATGCATGCATCCTTGCCATTTATAGTATGTGCTTATCTTCCACAGTGACTAGGGTTGGATTCCCAGGTTCTCGCTTTATTTCATTGCTCCATGTCCCTCTGTCCTTGGCAGTGCCCTACTTAGTTTTAACGTTAACTTGACACAACCTAGAAATCACCTGGGTGATAAGACTGAGTTGAGGAATTCCCTAATCAGATTGGTTGTGGTCATGTCAGTTGGAGGGTTGTCTTTATTGTTAATTGAAGCAAGAGTGTCCAGCCCACCATAGATAGTACCCATTCTCTGGACTAGCTGAGCAGGAGCCTGAAGGAACCATGGAGTGACATCCTCTATCATTATAACTGTCCTTCTTGGGCAGTAAGATTCTTGGTCAGGGGTGTTGCTTTGCAATAGAAATTAGGCTTATCATCAAGTTCCTGTTTGAGTTTTTGCCCCAATTTTCTTCCATAATTGGTTGTAGCCTATAAGCAGAAATGAACCTTTTTCTCTCTTAATTCACTTTTGGTCAGGATATGTATCACAGCAGTAGAAATAAAATTAGAGCAGTCAGTGATAATCTCCAGTGTTCAGATCTTCAAACTAGATGATTCTCTGAATAAATTTAACTAACAGTGTAAATGGCATAATAATTTTTCAGTGCTAAAAAACACAGCTGTCCAGAATCTTGAACATCATCTCCATAGAAAATTCTGCTAGACATGGACATTTCTGTTGCTAGCACATCAAAACTCACCACCCTGTTGAATTTGATTTTTTTCTCCAGAATGTATGCAATGACATCAAACTTTCCTCAGATATCACTGAATTGGAGGTGTACCTTTTCTAAAACAAAGAAGGGTATGTGCATGTTAAATGCACATGTATTGAACATATCCACTGTATTTAGGATGACCATATGTCTCAGCTACCCTTGTACCATTCCTAATTTACAGAAGATACTCCATATGGTTAAACACATGTTCTTGGCAGCAGTGTTACGATTTGGATTACTTATGTAGCCACCCTAACCATTATTTGCTCCTGTTAAATGCAGACAGCATTCATACATTCTCTGTCTTCTCATACTCATTAGATAATTCTAAAGACTTCAACAGTTGTGTCAGAATTTCACTCACAAAATCAAAGTTATTTGCTATCTCTAGCAAACAGAAGAGCATGTAAACACACACACACACACACACACACACACACACACACACACACACACCACCGCCACCACCAGCAATGTACTATAATTTCTCCATGTCCGTGAGTTTTAGATGCTCTTTTCCCCTGTTTTCTATCCAATCCTGTCCTGTCTTGATAATCCATCATCTTTCCATTAATTTATTACCTCAGCGTTATCATCTAAACACCCCAACTCTATATTTATATCTGTTCATATTCTTATATGAATATATATGTATGTGAGTATTTGTGCATGCACAGATGATCAAATGTATAAAAATAAGATAATTAATGTAAAATATATGTTCCCTATTTCTTGATTCACAGTATTAACTAGATCTCAAATTTCACATCCTCCATCATGTTGTGTACATTCCCTGTGTTTTCAAGGCACAGTTCAATCATGTTCTGGGAATGTTAAGTATGAAGATTCTTGGTAATCTTTTATAAATATTCAGTAGAGACTATAAAATATCTTCTATTATATTTGAATTAATAGTCTTGGTTATATCATATGCCATGCAATACACAGAACACAATTCTTTAACTACCTGCTTTGTGATTTTCCAACAGATAATTTGATGTTTCACAAGGATGCTTGCAAATAGCATGGAGCCATGGAAATATGTTCAATGTTAAAACACCTTTTGGATGTACTCTTTGTTTAACAGCTGTGATAGAGGGAATGCTGTGATTGTACCATTGACTATGTGTATATATAGATAAAACAAGCAGAGGAAAAGTGACTAGAAACTATGTCTATCAAATATTCAATGTTAGTGGTATTGGAGAGAAGACAAGGAACTGCCCATGACTCGGGAAATCCACCCTCAGGTTTGTCTCCGGGCCATAAAACTTTCTTGGTGCAAAAGCTCTTCTCTAGATTGAAGAATTGGACAGTAAGATAGAGGTGACAGATTGAGCATCCTGAGCGTGGGCCTTTCCATATTACATCAAGAGCAGGTTTCTTATCCCCTGTGGTTGGTCACTTTACTTAATGAGCAAACATAACAGCGGCATGCAGGAAATACATTTTACCAAGTTTTCTGTATAGAGGAGTAAGATCTGTGCCTGTGATTAGATATCAAATTATAGTGGTTTGTCTGGATAGACAAGTACTTGAAGAAACAGACCAGAAGTAAAATTTCTGACAAGAAACTCTGTGTAAAAGATGTCTGAATACATCTCTTTCAACTGGAAATTAGGTGAAAATATTTTTGTTATATAGGGATGATTATATAACTTAAATCTCGTAGAAGACCTTAGTAATTAAGTAGGTAGCATTACACATCATATAGGTAACAGTATACCTATTCCCTAGCCAATACTATTATTGCACTTTGGAATCCTCAATAGAATGGACATATGATTGGAAATAGAGTTTATACATAGATTCTTATGAACATACTCTGCTTGGATTTTGCTCTCATTGAGTGCCCAGTCTGAGTGCCCAGTGTTCTAGAGACAAAAGCCTGATTCTTAGATGATGCCCTATTCCCCAGCTGATGGTATACACATCTGCCTGCTTGGTGATTCCATCAGACAGCTCCCTTCATATGGAAAATACATTGTGTTGGACTGTGACTCTGGATGAGGCTGACCAAGACAGACTCCTATAATATTCTACACTTCATCCTGGTCACATAAAGCATAACTTCTAATCTAGTAGTTTGCTGCATAGCAACAGAAGTGCAGCAATGATTCAAGGTCTGCACAGGTATCATCTTATCTCTTGATTTCCTAAAAATGCTCACTTGATAACACCATAGAAAGGGATTTTCTGTACTCAGTTCCTGGGTTAAACTGGTTGGTGTCTTTGCTTTGCAAGGATGTTACAGCATTCTCCAGATGGTATGTCCTCTAAATTGGTGCTCAACATGCACGGCCAATTTTTTTCAAGGAAATCGTCCTTGCATACATAATGTCAGTATACAAAAGTTAAATTTGATAGTCCATTTTGTTCAATTAACAAAATACTTGTTTTTTATTTTAGTTTCAAAATGTTATTGCAAAGCAGCATATATGCCCTGTACATACCAATGCTTCTAGATCAAAGAATATATTAAACATATGACTAGGTTTGGAAGAGAATCATAAAATCACATTGCACAATAAATTCAGGAAATTATAATTCTGTCCATAGTTCTCTTTTTTTGGGACTGATTCTTTTGGTATTCAAATACTGCTAAAGTACACAATGTTAAAAAGGAATGAGCATTCACAAAGATTTCATAAGACGACAGAATTAAATTCATTCAGGTTTTGATTCTTCACCTTTGCAATGATGGCATCATAATTATTTATTTCATGCTGGTTTTTCCATATCAGAAACACATTCCATCCAGAGTTTTTCATGTAGGGTTTGCATTGGAAGCAAGCATAAGTGAGCAAAAAATCTCTAAAAAGTTTCTTGGAATGAATGAGGTCAGCAGAGTCATGTCACGGCTCCTTTCAAAACTGAGTGGTCTCCAATTTAATACCTATAAAGAATACAAATGTGCATAGCATAACAGTAGCATGTCCGACTTCCACAATATGTCCACCAACCAAATAAAGTCAAATAAAGTTGTCTTCAAAAACAAAAAAAGAATACAAGTGTTACTAGATGACAAGTAACCTAAACAAACCCATTAAAATTTACACACTATTGGGGTGGAGGGATAGCGTAGAGGTTAAGAGCACTGGCTACTCTTCCAGAGTACCTGGGTTCAATTCCCAGCACACACATGGTGACTCACAATTGTCTGTAATTTCAGTTCCAGGCCTGCCACCCTCACACAAATATATATGTAGGCAAAACACCAATGCACACAAATAAATTATTTAAAAAAAAAAGGCCGGGCTGTGGTGGCGCACACCTTTAATCCCAGCACTCGGGAGGCAGAGGCAGGCAGATCTCTGTGAGTTCGAGGCCGGGCTGGACCGACAGCCTCCAAAACAATACAGAGACCCTGTCTCATAAAACCAAAAAAAATTTTTTACACACTATTATCAGCTTTAAGAGAACCAAGTTGTTAGGAATTCAGCTATATATGGTATTTGGAGAGAGAACTTTCTGATAACAACTGAAGTCATGCAGGATATTCTGTGACTTAGAATTGCGGTGTATTCTTTTACCTGTGCACTTCTATCTTAAGTGTGTATGCATATGTTAATGTGAGGAGACAGATAGTTTACTTGTGTGTGCACAAATATATGGAGTTCTGACGTCAACCTGGAAGTCATGTCTCAGGTACCAGACTTGTTTGATGAGATGAGTTTTCATCATGGATCATAGCTCATCAATTACACATTTTTCACTAGTCAACGAGTCCCAGAAACAGACGTAACTCCACTTCCCCAGTTCATGGATTATAAGCATATGTGACCATGTATGGTGCATTTTCACATGGGTTTTCAGATATGACTTAGGCTTTTCTGATCTTAAGGTACTTTCCCAACAGATGTTCTCCATGACCCCCTAAACTGGTATGCCCTTAAGATTCCAGATAGACTAAATTACTATTTAAATATTGCTTACATTTTCAGTGAATATCACTATTTTAAGCATTACAAAAATTCCTGCATTTTTGTCATTTTATTCAATGTTTCTCCCTTAACATTAAGCACTTTAGAATTTATATCCCTAAACACAACACGTCTTATCATAGAAATTTATAAAACATCATTAGTAATTATATCATTCTGATATCTTATAATTTCATAGAACTTGCCACTTTAGTTACTGGAAGGGAGGGTAATTGTTTCATAGTCTAAATACATTCTTGAAACTTGCTCATAAATATCTTCAAAACTAATTTTCAAATTGTCTTCTCTATGAAAGAAATTACCTTTGATTTTAGGTGATTTTATTATGACTATTTTATTGTAAATGTAATCGTTTTTCTATGTCAAGTTTTTGCATAGAAGATTATACGTTTCACGAATATTATTCTACTTTGGCTACAACTTACCCAGCTTGAAAACTTTCTAAAACTTGCTAAAGGCCTGGTATTTCCACAAATCTAATGAAAAGGATTTCTCAAAGGCATGAGCAAAGCATTTCTACTTAAATTGAAAGTATCCACAAAGTATATTAATATATAACTGATATCCACCAAAGACTGTATCGACTTAAGAATGATGTGCATGTCAGTCCTCTGTGATATAACCATGTGTACAATGACAACTCTGTTAATTAACAGTTGACCCAAACAACACGGTAATCCCAAAGGTACATTCTTTGTAATGGAACTTATTTCTAGTGTAAAATTCTACAAATGTCAAAAAACAAAACAATTAAACTAAAAAAAATCTATGTTGTTAGGCCTCAGATGCCTGGCCTGGTATATCCTGGGATATCAGTCCATACACACTAATCAACATAAAGAAAGGAGTATCCCTTCAGGCTTGCTTGCTTTTGGCTCTAGGTAGCAATGCTTCCAAGCAGGTGGGATGGTATGATATGAGAGCATGAGCTACTGAAGATTGACAAATACAAAGCCTATTCAATCACATGACTTCTAAAAACAATTTCATTTGATTGTTTCACCTAAAAAATTTCCATGTCCCTGAAAAATTCTGGGGTCCCTGGTATGTCTTAATACCATTCTTCATTGAGGATCACTTGCCTGAAATAGAAAGGACAACTATGATTTATAAATTATAATATAGCTTTCTTATGATACAATCTTTTAAAAAATTATGGTTTTTCAGTTTCTGCTTGAATTTCTAAAGTTGTCACTGAAAGATGAATATTTAAATGGTTTTTCTTTTATGGACTCATTTTGATTTATTTGTAACAACATGATAAATAATCAGTATTTTACACACATTAAAGTATACTTATGCAAGATTTGCTTTCCTACATGCCAGAGGCTGAGACAAGAGGACTGTTGAGTTTGAATTTGAGGCCACTTTATGTTACAAATGAAGATCTTGTATCAAAAATATATATTTGCACATTTTTCATATTCAGAAAAATACTCATGTATTTATTTGTGTTTGTATATATGATCAATACTGGATTAAAGTGCTTATTATATGCATGTGTGACCATGCCTATTTCAGCTTTGCTTTTAACCCACCAATGTAAGTATCAACTTGGTAATATAACAAAGAATGATTTATGTTTTCTGATAACTTCTGTCTTACTTTTATGGATATGGGCTTAGTCCAGAGTAATTCAAGCATTTTTCCTGCCAGAAGTCAGCTATGTCAATGTAACTATGTATGTTGTGAGAATAGACGTGCTTATATTCATCTCCTTAAACTTATGTTTAAGGAAGTCACGCTCACAACTTATGTCAATCATATACCTTCAAGCTCTTACACTGATTTCCCAAACAGGAAAATCATGATAATGAATAATTTAACATATAAATAACCTAAATACATATTCTTAGACTACAAATCAACTCAGCATGCTCAAAGATATCTAGGAGTTTTTGATAGGTAACATGAGCTTTTTACTTATGTTCTAATAGGATTTTTCTCTTATATTATCATACAGTTGATGATTTCCAACCTGAATCTCAAATCCAATGGGAAATTTCCTACCTGCTACTTAGGTTTCACAGTAATGGAAGCTGCTGTCTGTGCTGACTGTTAGGAAAGTATGGATGTCAATGGTCAGACCCAGTGTTAGACACCGCAGGCTACAATGCCAACCTGCTATGCAGGATGTGGCCACCAGTGCAAAAATGGCAGGACTGCCTTTAGGGTGACTGTCTGCTTAGTCTCTGATCAACAGAAGGGAGTTCCTGGCTGGTACCATAAACCCAGTCAAAGTCCATGGATAGAGAGCTCATAAGTTCTAGGGAGAAGCCTACTATTGTTCTGATAATTGGTCATGTTTTTAAAACTTAATGAGGGAGGAGTATACATCAGATAGATGTCAAATAGCAGTCGGCTTTTTAAGATATATGCCATTTCCATAAATTGAGAAGGGACACATACTTTAAGTTATAGTGATAATTACTACTATGTACTTATTTACAAACAATATTTTTCTAAAGCATAAAATCTTGGGAATATCTTTTCAAAAAAGATGTTTTCGGTTCTTAATACAAATAACTTCAGTTGCTCAAAGCTCAGTGTTTCAATGCCCTCT